ACGCTCCCACTGATTTTCTTGTACACACAGTGCTCATCCAGACATTAAGTGAACCCGTACGATTGGATCACCTCATCAACACGGATATTCCAAGATCTCGAAGCTTGCTTCAGTCCATAAATAGATCGATTAAGCTTACACACTAGATGCTCACTGTTTGTCCCATTTTTGTTACATTTTTCGTGCTTGTTTTGCTTTTCCTTTTCCCCCATTTTAGTTCGTTTCTTTCGTTTTTAGTCCGTTTCGTGTTTTATTCTGTGTTTTCCTTTATTTTGAGTCCTTAGGTGTTTTTCGTTTGTTTTTCCAGTTTTTTCGTGTTTTGTCATTTTTGTGTGTAGGTCGGGAGCTTTGGGCGAAATTTTTCAATTGGAAAAATTTGTTTCGAGAGTATAGTCGAATAGAGGGGTTCGTTGGCAACGCATAGCAAAAAACAGAACTCAATTTCGAGTTCGAACGAGCCCGAAACGTAAAGTGGCGCAGTGCAGCCTGAGTTGCGAGTCGTGACATGACAGTCGCGACTCGCGAGATGAAGTCGGTACTCGCGAGACGAAGTCATGACTCGCGATTGATGTCGCGACCAAACCCCAGAAATTGAAGATGACGACGCGCGGCTCGCGAGTAAGTCGCGACTCGCGACCTCAGGAAAGTGAAAGTCGCGACTCACGACTTATTGACGCGAATTGCGAGATGCAGGTTTTAACATCAAATTTTGGACCTAGGGCTCATTATTCGACTCCAGACTTCGTTTTCACACTTTTTCTCTCTTGAAACACATTCCGTACATTACTATTTCACTTTTGTTTGGATTTGGAGATTGAAAAACCCCTTTTTTCTCGCTTTGGATTTGGATGCACTTGGATTTTACATTGGGATTTTGATATTAATTGTATGTTCTTTTTCTCAATTGTTATTGATGATGATGGCTTGGGTTGATATGAATTGTTATGTTGAATTCGTTATGAGTAGCTAAATCCATTGGCTAGGGATAGGGGATGATGATGTTGTTTTGAATTTAATTGTGAATATCATGCTTGTTGATCGTTCAATTTATGCGAGTTGTTCTTAAATAGGGTTTATAATTTTCGTACATTGAATGTTGATTATTGTCGAAGAGCGACACTTCGATTTGCAATTGATTTCCAATTGAATATGATTCGTTCTTGTGTGATGTGTTTAAATCCCACGAACTAGTATATTAACAGTCGTCTAGTATAATTAATCAACTCTTAGAACCTAAAGGGGAGAAGTTGATCGATCTAGGCTCGCATGAAATAGACTTGTTCGGAAACATATTGTCTATGTGTTGTGTGATTTGCATGATTTACCGTGTATGTTACCCTCTTGTTACGAAGAGTTATTGAGGACTATCGCTAGACGTTAGGTTGTTCAAATCATATAACCGAATGTTCTTAGCTTGATATTTGCATTAGTTAGAAAATCATCATCCCCGACTCCTTAGCTTCTTATCATCATTTGATCTTCGTCTTAGCTTTTTAATTCGATTTTGCATTGTTTGAATTCTTTTTCGTAGTTGATAATTAAAAACCACTATCTTGATTAGAGTGTTTAGGATTTAATTTTCTTTTATGTGTTATCAACACCATTCCTAGATTCCGAACCGCCTTCCTCGAGAGATCGACCCGGGGAACGAATCTTTCGATTCGGTACTCGGTAAAAATATATTTTGCTATAACAAAATTGGCGCCGTTGCCGGAGAAGGCAAGTAGGATATTTAGTTTTGGTGTTGATTTTATTTTCTGTGTTTCTCTTTATTTTGTATTTTAGTTCTTTTCTCTGCATCTTTGCTTTTCTCTTTGTTTTTGCTTTTGTCTTCTTTTTTCTTTCTTTTCGTGGATACGCGTGGTTGTTTTGGTTCTTGTGTGCAGAGATTTGACTGAGGAAGCACAATGTACCCAAACCGTGTGTTTCTCTTCCCGCACATTCAATCTTGGAATAACGGGCCGAGCTGTCACTCCGAGCACTACAACCAACCATCTTCGTACTTTTACGAGCAGCAATGGAATTTGGCAATGGTTGAGCAGGCCTATGAATTTCAGGAGCGATCCTCAGAGCATAATGACAAGCTTGACCGGATTCTTACCTTTATAGCAGCTCGAGAAGAAGAGGCCGCATTCAATGAGAAACTTGATCTAATCCTCAAACGGATGATGGCCCAAGAAAACCGAGAAGAGGAGGTGGAGCTCAGATGTGCCTGTTTGAGCGAGCAATTGGAAAGTCTAGCAAGGCACATCGACTTTATCGAGTCACAAGCCGATAAGCCCATGGTTGTGGACCCACATCCGGAGCCCATGCCTTTCACTGAGCTCGAGGATGACTCTTCGGGATACAATGCTAAACTTGATCTTATCCTTGCTCGGGTGATGGCCAAAGCTAATCGGGATGAAGAGATTGAGCTCGGATGTGCTCGGTTGAGTACACAAGTGGAGAGCCTAACAACACGCATCGATCTTATCGAATCACAAGCTAATGAGGCCCATATCCATTATCCACATCCTACGCATGGTGCCTGAACATGTAAGTCGATGCGTATGAGCGAGCTTGACGACGAAGAAGTTGTGGCTCCACATACCGAGAGTGACACTTTAATGGAGGAGATTCTTGAGCCTGATCGAGATGTCCCTGAATTTACATTTTCTCAAAATTCTCCTCCCACGATCGAGTTGGAGGGTTCACATTCCGAGCCACCACCCTGTGCTACTAATAAAGAAGGATATAGCTCGACATGCCTTACGGATATTTTCATATTTCTCGAGGTCGACTATAGAGAGTTGATGAATAAAGCTCTTCGTCAGTACTTGGTGATTGTTCGTGCCCACACTAGCTTCTTCAAGAACACAGCCACCCGAATCCACCGTGTCTGCTTTCTCGCCACACTGCCCATGCTACCACTACTAGAGAATACGAAGGTGTGGCATGATCGACACTTCTTTTTGGACCCTGGCTGAGTTCCTCACAGCTTTCGTCAAGCTAATGACGTTAAACAAGCGCTTCTTGGAAGGCAACTCAAGTGTTATTTATTTTTTTCCAAGATATTTTCCTTCTTTTCTTTTGAGTTTTGTGGTCTTGTGTTAGCTGCTAGTATTGGTCCATGATATGAAATTGCTAGGTCTTGTTTTTTGACTTCCTGGATATGTGTTGAAGCAATGGGGACATTACCTCATTTTAAGTGTGGGGGAGTTTACTTGACTTTTTGCATGCTTATGTGGTGGACCGATCTAGTGTAGGTTTTGTGTGTTTTGGAGCATGGACTTTGGAAATTTCAAGATTAGTTAAGACTTGTTTGATGAATTCGATGAGTTGTGATGTTGGTCATATGCGGCATAGCGTGATGAATGCTTGGTTGAATCCTAGTGCAAGAGTGTGTGCATATGAGCATAGGGCATAGCCAAAGTGAGTCTTATGTAAGAGTGTGTACATATGAGTATAGGACATGCCAGATTAGATCCCGTGCAAGAGTGTGTACATATGAGCATAGGGTAAGTTGGATTCATTCCCGTACAATAGTGTGTGCATATGAGCATAGACAAGAGCGGACGGGTCCCGTGCAAGAGTGTGTACATATGAGCATAGGGTGAGATAGGAGATAGGTGAAGTGATTTTCATTCATGCTGCGATTATGATTTTAAGTCATTATACTGATATACTGCATGGTATTCCCATGGTGAGCTTGCTGTTTGCTCACCCTACTATTTCCCCCTTTTCAGGTTGAGCTGGTGGCAGCTGCAAAGGACGAAACGATTGGATTCATTTCATATGTTTATATTGATGTTGCTTCCGCTTAAATTTGAATGTTTTCAAACTTATGATTGGTTTCAAACTGATGGTTTTGAATATTGTTTTTGTTTGAACTTGGGTTGGAAACTATTATTGATGGATGTTATTGGTGAGATGATATAGTGAATTAATTCTCGTATATGACTTCATATTAGGTAATAAGTTCCCAATGGCTTATGATCATACTAAGTTGATGATGTATGTATGGATGACTGAGTAGCGTCTGTTAATTTATTTTTTATTTTAAACGATAAATAAATTTTAAAAAATTTATTCTGATTTTCGAAGACTCGGGATTTTTTCTTATAAAAATAACGGGGCGTTACACCATCTCTGCTTTGCTGGAAGAAGACGGCTTCCCTGGCGGTCTGTCGCTGTCTCTCCGGTTCCATTCGGGGATGTTGAGTCTTCGTCTTCCTGCTACAGCAGCGATGGGCAGAGGAGTGTTCCAAGGGGGATGCTGCTCTAGTCGTACGGTGATGGCGGTTGGAGCGGAGGACTGGAGCTTTTGTCCCCTGTGCTCTATTTTCCCATGATGTGCGGGTCAAGGGGCTTACCGACGTTTTTTGATCTTCGGCTTGGTGTGTGCTCAGATTGGGGCGAGATGGATTAGGTTGGCGGTTTTTCGGCTACGAGGTTGGGGTTGACTGTTGGGGCGCGGGATTGGGTCTTTGGGTTACGGTTCCAGTTAGGCGGTTTTCGGCAGTTTCTGGAGCGGTTCTCATGGCGTGGTCCGGTCCGTAGTGGCAGTCAACTGTGGGTGTTGCCGTCAGTTGCACTCGGTGTTCGTCGATTGTGGGAAGGGCTTAACTAGTCTTAGTTTGTTTTTTGGTGTGTTTGTGGGTTGTGTTGTGAATGTTGTTTGTGTTGTGTTGTTGTGTTTGTGTTTTATCTTCTTCTTTCCCGTTGGGAATGTGTTTGGTGAATTTTCCTGTTGGGAGCTTTTGTTTATTCTCCTTTTGAGAGTTTGTAGTTGTGCTTTGTATTGTAGGTTGACTCTAGGCTGCCGTCTGGTTGTATGTGTACTGCTCTCTACAAGAGTCAGTTGTTCAGCTTATTCGGTCGTTGGCTGTAAATTCAGCTGAATAGTTGTTCTCTTATCTCGATTCTGTTGTGACTATAAGTACTGTCTATCGTCCCGATAAAAAAAAATGACAAATTGAAAAGAGTAGTGTGAATTTATTGGCAAAAAGCTCTTTCATATACTCTAAATTTTGGACACCAATTTTTATATATAAAAAAAGCAATCAAAAAACCCACAATTCCTTTCAACTTCTCCAAAAACCCTGTAATTCAGTGCAGATGATTAATTACCCACAAAACCTCCGAAAAATTAGCCTTTTCAAATTCAAAATCAACCCCAAATACAAAATCAAATTTCCACCCGATCACATATCCAAATCCACCACCGAAAACTGACGGCTGGCCGGCGACCACAGATCCCAAATGGCGGCGGAGGTTCTGGAAGTCATCCACATACCTGACAGTGCACCCGACGCCGGCGACGACGAAATCTCCGTCGTCTACGCGACGTCGTTTCCTCCCAAGCGAGGCGCCACCAAATCCGACGCCATATCAGTCGAGGACTACCGCCCCAAACCCAAAATTCACCACGCCAACGACGATGATCTCAAGATCCTCTACTTTTTTCCCAAATCCCGTAAAAGGGTTTTCACAGGCGAGTGCTCGAGATCGAAATCGGGAAACAACGACGCGGCCCACCAATTTCTGTGCGAGATCTGCGCTGACGAGAAGCCCAATCGCCAAAAATTCAGCATTTTGGGGTGCGAACACAGCTACTGCTCCGATTGCATGAGAAATTACGTGGCCTCAAAGCTGCAAGAAAACGTCGTCTCCATAGGCTGCCCTGTTCCCGGGTGCCGAGGCACCCTCGAGCCTCAGCACTGCCGGTTGATACTTCCGGATCAGGTTTTCGACCGGTGGGGAGAAGCCCTGTGTGAGGCCGTAATCTTGGCTTCAGAGAAATTCTACTGCCCGTTTAAGGATTGCTCGGCCCTTTTGGTGGACGACTCGTGTGGGGGGAATGGGGTTATGGCCGAGTCCGAGTGCCCATATTGTAACAGGCTCTTTTGCGTGCAGTGTAAGGTGCCTTGGCATTTTGGGATTAGTTGTGATGATTTTAGGAAGCTGACGGCCGACGAGAGGGGTAGTGAGGATATAATGCTGGTGAACTTAGCCAAGAATATGAGGTGGATTAGGTGCCCCAAGTGCAGGTTCTATGTCGAGAAGTCGGAAGGCTGCTTGTTCATGAAATGCAGGTTGGCCTTTTTTTTTCTCCCCAAAAAAATAAATATTTTTGTTTTTTCTCTTGGCCTTCTTTGACATCTCTGGCTATTTTTGGCGAATGGGTTTGTTTGAGCTGGATTTTAGGTCTTATGAATGTGCATTGCTTGTGTTCTTGCTGTAACAGTTGCTTGTGGTGTTTGTTGAGGTTCTACTAGCTGTTGTTGAGTTGTGAGGTGAAGTTGGATCTTTGCTTGTAGAAGGTTTGGGAAAATGATTGTGCGTATTGGTGACTGCTAAATGTTATTGTGCCTACATTATGTTTTTTGGTGTGTGAATTTGGCCCCACGGAAGTTTTAACCAGCCGATCAACACAAACCCACATGAGTGTGTGTGTTTGTGTGTGTATGATTGTATGATCGACCAGTTAAAACCCCTGTGGGGGCATTGTCCACTGGGGTAAGATCGAATATTCAGTGTAACTTGACTTGACACTTCAGATGGAAACATTGTGAAAGGAAGAATCTTTTTTACAGTTGGGAGAATCATTTCGTGAGTAGTCCTCCACGCAATGACAGACATAGGATCGATGTTATAAAGATTGGAGGGATTTTTATATATACATACTTTTTTCATGATCTTTGATGAAATTTACACGTCTAACATCTCTCCTATCAGCTATGCTTCATAGGTCTGAAAAACACCTGTCTGGGCCGGCTGTTTTTTTGGTACAGCTACTTGTGGGATGGGCCTGGCCAAGCCAGTCAGGTTTCTTGAATTGGCCCAACAGGACTGGGTTGTTCAAGCTCGAAATTTTGCAAGCTCTACACTTTCAAGTGTGCTAATATGTTTTATCATAAACTCTCTAGACTGGGCTTTAGATACACCTCGATTTGTCTTTTCAGATATATGTTGATTTTGCTCCATTGTACTGCTTTGTTTGATTGTAGGTGCGGACATGGTTTTTGTTACAACTGTGGAGCTCCTCTAAAAGAGCATTACTGTCGTCAATGCAAGCACTAAATCGAGCTCCTATTCCTGGTCAATATGATGCAGTTGATGTTAATAATGACATTATGGACTTAGTAGACTGAGGCCATGTTTGCTATGCATGATTGGACTGGATTACATTAGGATTGAACTGTTAAGGAAACTAAAGAAGGTGTTTTTGAGAATGGGTTTCTAGATGTGGATGGTTTTTGCTTTAGCCATTGGTGCATTCTTTGATAATTATGGTATATTATTATATATGATTTTACTTTACTGTGTCTTGTCCTGGCTGACATTTTATCTATCGTTGAATAAGTAGGTCAAAATTGAGGTCTATTTTCCCTTCCAAAAAGGTGGTTTAGCCCAAAGGATAGAAATCACTTTTTTTTAAACACCATACTTTCAAACTGAAATATAATATTTTAAAATAATATTAAAAAAATAACATTTCACAACCATTTGGTTAGACCAACCAATTAAATTATCAAATTAATACATTTAATCATCATCTCACTTAACCATCTTCAAACAAGCAAAAATAAATTCTAAAAACTTCTTTAACATTTATAGTAGCACTATATTTAACCCCCTACATGAACACTACATTAAAAACCAGAGGTAACTTTTATTTTGAAAGTTAGCCCATTTCTTCCTTTTGTCTTTCTTCTGGTAGTTAGATCAAACCTCAAGGGTATTTGTCAGCATATCCCTAAGAACATCTGTATATATGGGTGGAAAATTGTTTACCTTCAGTTGCACCAGCTCGCAGTCCTTAGTACATAAAGAAGTAATTCACAAGATTCTAATTTGAATCTACAAAATTATAGGTATATTATGAAATTTTACTCAGAAAATAGCCATATTTTTTGTCCATAATAAAAGCAAAAGCAATGCATCAGAAGTGGATCACATGAGGTTATCGAGTTGCGCCTGCAAATCTTGTATCGGGACCATATTGACAATGCTTTGTATGTCTTCGGGAGAATATTCCGTTTTAAGCAAGGTCTGCACCTGAATATGGGCTTCGACTATGTTTGTCCTGCAAATTAAAGACGGGGAACGAATTATGAAAACTGTGTCATGAAAGAAATAAACTGAACGAAGATGATAAATGTTGATTATTAAATCGAGTTGGGGTATCTTACTTTATTGGTTTGAAAAGTATGGCGCGTGTGGCCGGATTCTGGAGATAAAGCTTCATTTTACCCATTACCCTAGGCAGCTCTTCTTGAATAGCCGAACCCACCTGTCGTGAAAATAAATACACGATAAAATTAATCTCCCCTTCATGAATTTATTTTGGTCTTCAAGTTGAGGACAAATATCAAGAAGATGAATATCTTAAATTTGGAAAATTACGGAAGTATGAGAAAGCATCACACGCCAACCGAACCTTTGTAATTCGACACTTATAGGGTTCTTTTTTCTTTTCATTTTCTTTTTCCCCAATATATGCCACAAGTCTAAAGAGTGGTCCGTGTTAATCCAAAAACAAAAATGAAGTAAAATCATATATACCTTTTGGACAATCTCAGCAACCTTTTCAGGAGTAGCAAAAGCTTGATCCTTGAGTGGCTTACTCATGGCAGACTCCTTTTGATTTTGACTGCCAGAGGATAAAGCAACTTTGACAGCAGTGACCTGTGCCGATGAATGATTAGCAAGAAAAAATTTACGGAGCTGTACTGCTTAAATTATGCAGTGCTATTGGAAATATGAAATTTTAACTGCATCTAACACAGAAACCCAAAAACCGGTCATGTAAGTAAATACTCTGCGAACTCAAGAATCTCTGGTATGCATTAACATGCTCTTGTACAACTTTACCCTAAACTTCAAAACATCATTTTCATTATAATTTGTGTCTATTGCGTAATGCATGAATATCTCTGCAGATTGCCCTTCATAACCAGCTTACTTGCACAGATATGAATGTGTGTATTCATATGCTGAAAACAATACATAAGTTTCATTGAGATAAGTATCTGAATCGAAAAATTATATATAACCGACCTTGGTGACAAAAGACAACATAGGATCTACGACCAGCTTAGTCACTGACATGATGAACTCTTCGCATGTGGCTTTAAGGCTTTTCTCCAATTCCTGCACGTGAAGTGGGATATCAAATGCGGATGTGAAGTTAATCGATAATGTGGTAAGAATATTGACAACAAAACAATGGAAATTGAAGTTTGTGAATAAATTCAGGGAGTTGGGAATTTGCAAACAGAATCACATGCAGGGACCTCCTCTGAAGATCGGTCAACAAGTTTTCAGCTAATTCATAAACCCAAAAGTATATGACCAGAAACAATTTATTTCCATAGTTTAGAAAAATGGGAAAGGAAGTATGTAGAATAAGAATGGAACACAAAATATTCCATACATCTCATATCTATAACCTACTCAAATGGACAAATGAGTAAATATGAAAAAATTGTTGAGTTAGAGATTTGGATGAAAAATAAGACTAAAAAACCCCAAGCTCCCTTTAATAATACAGGCTTACCTTTTTCGCATCTATTTGACTTTCCAAAATTCGTGGAGAGAGTGTTCTTGCCAAGGATGTAGACCTTGACCAATCAAATAGTGATGCCTGGCCTCGAAGAATCCGTCTCAAATGCTCCTAGGAAATGCAATCAACTAATTTAATATAATCATAACCAAAGATCAGAAAATGAATCAATATCTATGACTACACCATTTCAGTCGACAGTTTCAAAAAGTTAACGTTCAGTCAGTTGTGAAACTAATGGTTGTGCCTTTCCCCCGAGCCCAGAAGCATTCAAAATTACAAGACTATTTATTGAAATGAAATGAAATGATCTTAATAGTCTCATAAACTGAATGCACTCTGGTTATTTGATACCTAAGCCCAAAGGTAATAATTCAACACCTATGGTCATAAAGAACACTGTACTTAGAGCATGAATTCAGGTCCTATGATGGTTAAAAACTAAAGGCAGGAAACATTTACTTTCCAGTGTTACATTAAATGGGTCAGTTCTGATAAAGACCAATTTCTGAAAGTTTATTCTAGAAGGGTTGTGGATAAATTGGGATTACATGTGGAGCCTTCACCGACGTATTCTGTGATGCTCGGCAATGGTCAACGCATTTCCGCACAGGGATTGTGTCGCGCCCTTCCTCTTTATTTGCAGTTGGCTACATTTGTGGTTGATTGCTTTGTTTTTCCGTTGGGAGGGGTGGATATAATATTGGGTGTCTCTTGGTTGGCTTCTTTGGGGGATGTGAAAGCAAATTGGAAAAACTTGACAATGGAATTAGTTAAAGATGGTCGTACGATTCTTCTGAGAGGGGATCCCTCGTTCACCCGCCAAGCTGTTTCTGTGGCTACAGCAATTCGTGAATGTTCAGACGGTGAGCAAACATGGCTTTTATGGTCAATGGATCATTCAGAATCTCCATCGCGTTGTCCTGTGTCAACCGAGCCTCATTCACCAACTCGGGATGAAATATCGTCTCTTTTAGCGGAATTTTCGGAGATCTTAACACCACTTTCCGGACTACCTCCTAAGCGACACATTGACCATCATATTAACCTGCAGCCGGGTACCGAACCCATTTCAGTGAGACCATACCGCTACAATCATTTTCAAAAAGATGAAATGGAACGACTGGTGGCAGATATGTTGGAAGCTGGGTTGATCCGCCCAAGTTGCAGCCCCTACTCGAGTCCTGTTCTCTTGGTTCGCAAAAAGGATAGTAGTTGGAGGTTTTGTGTGGACTACCGCGAGTTGAACAAGCATACGGTTCCGGATAAATATCCTATCCCTATCATCCAGGAATTATTAGACGAGCTGCATGGGGCAAAGTGGTTTAGCAAGCTCGATCTCCGGGCCGGTTACCATCAGATACGCGGGTTGCTGAAGGGGACATTTCTAAAACGGCATTTCGCACACATTCAGGTCATGACGAGTTCTTAGTAATGCCTTTTGGGTTGACTAATGCTCCCGCCACCTTCCAGGCCATCATGAATGATATTTTCAGGCCTCATCTCCGTCACTTTGTGTTAGTCTTTTTTGACGACATCCTGGTGTATAGCAAGACGTGGCAGGAGCATTTATGCCATCTCCGACAGGTATTGGGCCTCCTTCGGGAACACTCATTTTCAATAAATCCGAAGAAGTGTTCGTTTGGAAAGAAATCTGTCGAGTATCTCGGCCATGTGGTCTCGTCAGATGGGGTGCATATGGACCCAACAAAAATCGCTGCAGTGCTCCAATGGCCGCGTCCTGCTTCTCTTCGTAGCCTGCGTGGTTTCCTTGGCCTCACAGGTTACTATCGCCGATTCATTTGTGGTTATGGCAAGATTGCCTCTCCTCTCACGTCTCTATTGAAAAAAACGACATCTCGAGAGTGGGTCTGGCCTTGTGAGGCTGAACAAGCTTTCCAAGAACTCAAGCAACCACTAACTTCCGCTCCGGTTTTAGCTATGCCTGATTTTTCATTGCCGTTTGTCGTTGAATGTGATGCATCTGGACAAGGGCTTGGTGCGATTTTGATGCAACAAGGTCGTCCGGTGGCTTATTTTAGCAAGGGTATTTCAGACCGCGCTTTGGCTAAATCCGCTTACGAGAAGGAGTTGATGGCATTGGTGATGGCGGTACAACACTGGCGTCCACATGGATGAATTGGAGTCGACTAAAATCGGCTATTGAGTCTGATCCAAAGTTATCCAAAATTGTGTCCGCCTTGGAATCTAGCACGTCTGCACCACCGCATTACTCCCTTGTTCATGGGAATCTTTTCTACAAGGGTCGCTTGATAATTCCTAGTGGATCCGAGTGGACCACCAAATTAATTTCAGAATTCCATTCCACACCAACAGGAGGTCACTCTGGGGCATTCCGCACTTATCGACGCTTAGCAGCAAACGTGTATTGGCCTGGAATAATGCGCCAAGTGACGGATTTTGTGAGGCGTTGTGACATCTGTCAAAGAAACAAGTACGACACCAAGTCGCCAGCGGGCTTGCTACAACCCTTGCCAATTCCAGATCGAGTTTGGGAGGACATTAGCTTGGACTTTATTTCGGGCCTTCCCCGTTCGGGCAATCTTGACTGTATCCTGGTGGTTGTTGATAGATATTCAAAATATGGTCATTTTCTGGGATTGGGACACCCTTACACCGCTCGATCTGTGGCGAATTTGTTCTGTCGAGAGGTGGTGCGCTTGCACGGTATTCCAACATCAATTGTATCAGATAGAGATCCAGTGTTCCTAAGTTCGTTCTGGCAGGAGTTATTTAAGTTGGCAGGCACTAAGTTGAGAATGAGTTAGGCATATCATCCTGAGACGGACGGACAGACCGAGGTACTGAACCGTTGCCTTGAGACATATTTGCGTTGTTTTAATTCTGAAAGGCCAAGAGAGTGGAGTAAGTGGTTGGCTTGGGCAGAGTACTACAATACGGGTTTTCAATCAAGTGTGGGCGGTACTCCATTTGAGGTAGTTTATGGTCGTGCACCTCCTAGGCTACATCGTTTTATACCAGGGGAAGTGAGGACACAATCATTAGTAGAGGATCTTCGGGACAGGGATGAGGTCTTGCGCCATTTGCGTTTCCACCTGGAACGTGCTCAACAACGCATGATTCGTGAAGCGAATAAACATCGTAGGTTCGTGGAGTTTGCAGTAGGGGATAAAGTGTTTGTCAAATTTCGTCCTTTTCGACAGCGGACGCTTTTCCGTAGCATGAACACTAAGTTAGCAACTTGATTTTTTGGGCCATTTGAGGTAGAGGCTCGTATTGGAGCAGTTGCTTATCGATTGAAATTGCTTGGTACCGCAAGGGTGCACCCTGTCTTTCATGTTTCGCTGTTAAAAGCTTCGGTGGGACTGAATTCCGTTGAGCCTACATTTCCTGATGAATTATTGGGAGGTGACCCATTATTTATTCCGGAGAAAGTGCTAGCTCGACGAGAGATTAAGCGCAATGGGGCAATGGTTCCACAAGTTCTAATCAAATGGGTAGATCACGGGGATGATGAGGTGGTTTGGCTGGACATTGAGGAAGTACGTGGCCAATTCCCTAATTTCAGCCTTGAGGACAAGGCTGTTTCCGTCCGGGCAGGAGTTGATAAAGACCAATTTCTGAAAGTTTATTCTAGAAGACTGAAACGAGCTGCGGCTGCTCCTATTAAATTATTAAACTATTTAATTATTAAATTATTAAACTATTAAATTATTAAATTATTAAATGGGCTTTAGGATTTAATTATTAAAATTTTAAATTATTAAATTATTAAATTATTAAATTATTAAATTATTAAACTATTAAATTATTAAATTATTAAATGATTAAGTTATTAAACTATTAAATTATTAAATTATTAAATGGGCTTTAGGGTTTAATTATTAAATTATTAGGGTTTAGTATATATATTGGTGGCTAAGAGTTAGATTAGTTATTCTGGAATATTGACGTTTGTGGCAGGCAAGATAGCCTGAGGACCCTTCGGGGTAGTTCTTTCATTATCTATTGTTATTATTGCCCTTCACTCATCAAGTTCTCACATTTGTGGACCATAAATAATAGGTCTTGCTTTAAAACTCACAGAGGGAAAAGACAACTGTTTTAAGAAATGATGAGCTTTTCATTGATCTGCATGCAAAACATGTCTAATGTCAAATCAACATCAGTGTAAAATCAGTACCAGCAAATGAGAGAAGTCAAGCTCCTTGTGTGTAACTGAGAATTCAATATCAAATGGTGCAATCTGCAGATGAACTGCTTGATTAAGTTACAGAAAAGAAACATATTAAACAAACATGAAAACAATTGTTTAAAAATTAGAGTTAGAACATGACCTGCTCTCTGAGGATAAGAAGAAACTTTATGAGGAACAGTTGTCCGTCCATTGTGGATGATCTTTTTACAACAAGTTTGCTAGCTTTCTGCCAGATAAGAACAAATAAAGAATTGTCAAGAAGTAAATGCATGGGAATGAGAGTACAAAATAAAATAAATACATAAGATTAGACTTTATCGTAATTATGGGCCACGATTTCAAGACACACAAGTAAATGATATATAAATTGTTATTGGAATGAAAACTCATGATTAAAAAATCTCCAAAAGGAGATGAGCTATGTTATTTAAAGTTTAAACCCAAATCTATGGGCGCATGAAATGTGCTTCTTTAAAATATTAAAGCTAATGTTTTCCCCGACCCTATCTCAGTATCCAATAAGCTAAAAATCTCAAAGCACTCACCTGAATGGACAAAGAGCAAACTTCAACTGCTTCCTGATATGGACATTGAATCAGGAAAAAAAAAAGAAAAGAAATCAGAAGAGGAGAGTCAAAGAATTGAACAAAACATATTATCAAACAACGAAAGATAGCTCAATACTACTACCTGCGCCAAACCAGTAAAAACTGCTGGCTCTAAACATCGATACAGTTTAGATAAACAGGTTATAGTTTTCTCAAGTGGAGGGTACCAAGTCCTAGAAACATCTGGATTATCAGCACTCTGCGGTCGGTCAGATACACATAAAAGCATTATAAATAACTGAAGTTGATAAGCTATATAGAAAAAGATGTGATAAAAGAAATAAAAACAAAATCCAAAACATCAGCAGGGCAGAATTGGAAAGGGTTGTGCGGAAGCAAGTATGAATTTCATATTAGAATACAAGGTAACATGAAACCAAAAGGTCAGAGAAAATCTTGCAGCAAAGTTAGAACAAAATAATAAAAGTGGAATAACTAATAAGAATTCAATAACAAGCTGTACAATAGGACAAAAGAACAACCAGAAATATCAAATCAGGATAAAAAAAAACTCTTGAAGGCACACCAAAAAAGTTGAGGAACACTTACAGACGATGCTTCTGAATTTGTCTCAGCTGATTGCTCCAGTTTAGAAGGGTAGTCTAGGTCTTCATCCAAAGGAAGGTAATTTGCAATCTGAACGAGAACAGAATTAATATAACGATACCCACATACATATACCAAAAAAGAAAAAAAAAAAAAAAATCTCACCCAAAGGAAAGGCTGATAATCATATGAAACTAAATTACCAGAAATTAAGTGCGTGTTTGTATATAAATATATCCGTTCAAAATGAGTTTTCTTGGTTAATCAATGTTAATTTTAAAAATGTGGTATAGTTAATTGTTAGTGCGATTTAAATTTTATATTATAATAATATTTAAAATAAAATAATTAAAGTTGATTTAATATAAAAATATGAGAGATATGATATGAAGTGATAGTTAGTTAAAATTATGTGAGTGGATGAATAGTGAATTAAAGTTGATGTGATATGTAAGAATGATTGGTTGATATTATTTAATTATAATGATAATATTGAGGATAGTGTAGTTGAGTTAAACTTGAGTTAGATTTTGAGTATGAATTGAGTGTGGATAGAGTATATTTATATACAAACACACCCTAACTGTCTCAACCATTACATACAAAGATTACTAAATCCTGTCCATCCAACACAATTAAGGTCTAAAACAGGTAGCAACAAACTTATTTTTATCAAATCCGAACTCATTCTTCTTTAGAACTTAAATTACTTAAATCACACTAGATGTTGATTACATATCCTCTTTCTGCTCATCCGAAATCAGGAAGCACATAGGTGTAGAATCATCAAGCAGTTCGTCTTTTCCATTTTCTTAAGAGTAAAACTGAACATATGTGCGTAAAAACATGAACTATGATCTAAAGCCAATAACTCACTCAAGCTGCAATAGTTACCTCATCACGAATGTGAGTTCTAGCACGAAAAGTTAAACGCTCATGAACATCTGCTAATGTCCTTTCCAGTGTTGGGCGTAATCCCGCAAGTGACTCTCCTCTTCTACTTACTTGTTCCGCCAGCACTTCAACTTTCAGAATATCAACAAGTTCACAGAGAACATCGAGGTTTGCTTCATGGATAAGTCTTGGACGTAATGTATCATATAAGTATGTACACCTGCCAAAATTGATGAAGAATTTGAGTTGGTGATGCATGTAATGTAGAATCTTTGGAACTCATGTACTGAAACTCAAAGTTTATATGAACTAACATGGTCCGAGGTTATGAGAAATAATTATTGAATTGCAAAGCAGGGTACAATTGATGTTGTATATTATCAGAACACATTCCATATAAAGGACAACAAGGAACCAGTCAAAGCTTACATCAGACTAAATTTACATTAATTTTATCTTATTATACGTGCGTCAACAAGAAAGCATTGGGAGCTGTGGCATCAAATTCATTGCTCTAACTCATAGATATAATATTATAGACTTATGTGTTAACCTTACGACGTGAATCCAGTTTGGCATTAATGAAGAGACTCAGAGACTTTACTTCAGGACTTCAAATTAGATCAACTATAAAGAAAACCTATTCCCAACCAATATTGGCTCTTACTATAATAAAGAAAAAAAGGTTTCAGCTACGTGTGCTTTAGCTCGTTGGGCCAACTATTACAATTTTAAAGACGAGATGCAACTAACATTCGCTAGCTCTCGTCGAAGACATATATTGCTCATAGAAATAGACTGTGATGTTTGTTTATAAAAAATTTTGGTTTTGTTTGGAAGTTTTGGTTTGGTTTGCTTAATTTTGAAAAATGTGGTATGGTTAGTTGTTGGTGGGTATATTAAAATAATATTTATAATAAAATAATTAAAATTGATTTGATGTAAAAGTAGGAGAGAGAGATTTGAAGTGATGGTTAGTTAAAATAATGTGAGTGGATGAATAGTAAATTAAGGTTGATGTGGTGCGTATGAATGATTGATTGATATTATTTAATTATATTGATAATTTTGATGATAGTGGGGTTGAGTTAAAGTTGAGTTAAAGAAAGTGGTTGGGTTAAAATGTTGGAATTTTTGTGAAAAATTCCATAAACAAACATGTCAAAGAACCCAAGAATCAGCACTTGCTATCTATGTTAACTAGGACACTGAAGAAGAAATGAAAAACCGGAGATGACATTAAACCAAAAGATGCATAAAAATAAAGGACAAAACTGAAGTAACTTACAGTGGATCTATCAGAGGGGCCAAACTTGAAACATCCTCTGAAGATAAAGGAAAGAAATGGTCAAAAAGTTGATGCTCGAGCAGACACATCTGCAGTTTCAAATATCTCTATGAGTCGACATAAACAAAAATCTCTATTTTCTTCTTGAGGTGATGGTTAGAGATATAATATGCAAAAAAAACAACCACTGCAGTATCTTAAAGTAAAGGGTATTTGAAGTAAATATTTTTTGACTTAATGAAATATTTCATTCAGGTGAATAAATCAACTGATACTAAAAATTTCAAAGCGTACGACCTAACACGGTAAATCCGTCCATCATGATAAATGATTAAACACTAAGTTACCACTTTAATTGGCTAAATGCCTTTCTGCACGTATACATCATTTTAACAAATCCCATCCAACTGAAAGTGGAAAAAGATGAAAGCCTTGGAACTAAATCTTGATTAGATTTGTGATATTTCATTGAACGGAAGCTGAAGAAAGGAATGCATTAACAACTATGAATCCAAAAGGAAACTAGGAAATGACATAAAAGTAGGTCCATATCAACTTCACTATGGGTTTCTTGCTTCCTTGAGAAACTAGCTATTGACTGGCTTTTCTCCTTATAACAGTAAAAGTAACACTTCAATTTATTGACTCAAAAATTTGTGAGGTCCCGTCTTCTTTTATGGTTGAGAGCTAGAAATCATATAATTGATTATAAGAGCACACAGAAATATACAGCTTTCTACTTTGTTCTTCTCATAGCAGAGACAGATGTGACATAAAGCTTCAAATTCTTTTCGTTTCTTTAGGTCATAAAGAAGGGAAAATGAAGAAAGGTTCTACATTTCACCCCCAAATAAAATTCATCATTCCACAGTTACAAACTCGGATAAATGTGTTATGAAGACAACCTGCATTAAGTATGCACACCCAGATCTAGTCAATGACGGCAATGCTTCTTTCTTGGCAAATTCAGATATACGTTGATGCACTATGCCCCTCACCTAAATCCAAAGACAAATAAAGATACACTTATAAAAGAGTACCCAATGGATGGTCAGAAACAATAACTAACTTGAGTAGAACCAATCCATGAATGAGTTACCAAGACACGAAGGGTAGCAAGGTATACAGATATGCAATTCAACTCACCAAAGATAGCCTTTGTTCACAGTAAAGTTTGTGGCATTCAGCAAGAATCTGAACATATTCCTTTCTTGGCTTTCTACTTTCAATTTCCTCCAATACTGGCTTAAGCTGCATTTATACAATTTATTAGTCGTCGCACAAAAACTTACAAATTCATCCCACTTATTACCTTTATCGATACATTGAGAAACTAAGAAAAAGAAAATGCAGAGACAAGACTCACCTCGTTCGCTGCTGCCTTGAACCTGACGTATATTATAGATGTCTCAACAGCCTCGGAGACAGATGCTTTGTTTCCAGCGCTGCTTCTTATTGCCGCTTGGACCTAAAGAGTGACACCAGAAAATTGTGGCACATTATTCAGCTAACTGAAAACACAGATCCAAAGTAAACAGAATAAGGCAAAGCTGAAATTACCTGAGAGGATGCATTCTTAAGAACAGAGAGTACGTGAGAACGAATCATTCCTAGAGCACGGGACTGCGCCGAGTTCAGAAAATAATTATGTATTTTAGAGCCCAGAAGGCAGGTATGATAATCCATTACTAAAATAACACAGAGAAAGCTTTTCAGCTACTGCCATCGAATTGTATAGCGTACACACCTGAAGCTGCCGAAACTTGACCAAGTAAACATTGCACTCAGCATACTGTGGGTTACTCTCGACATACCTAACAAAAAATATTGAAAATATCGCTATAGTAGGTCTTGTACTAGTGTTGCATTTCAACTGTACACTAATATATTTCAGAATCATGAGATAGATATTAATGCCTAGAAAAGCACAATCTGGTATACAAGTTACTAACTTCTCAAATTTAAACTGAAAACTATATTCAAGCAGTACACTAGTAGATTTAATAACTTGTGCAACAAAACTAAATTTGCTGCATTTAATCAATGTTACTTACGATATGCAGTCATCAAGTCTTTTTAGAAGAGGAAGAAAATTCTCATGTGATACATTCATACTTGGAGAATAAAAGCTGGTAGCAACCTGCATATTATAGTGTAATTGTCAATCATGAAAATGTACAAAGTCGCAAAAGTTCCAGTTTAAGACATGTAACAGTAGTCACACAAGTTCCATTGTAAGCAGACATGTATGACAAGGCAAAGAGGGAACTTCATCAATATCCTGATTGATGGGATACAAGGAAACAGAGAGGAGCACGTGGATGATATGACCCGACCAATCAAGTTTCCGAGAAGAATATTTTTCTGGTTCCTTTTTCTGGCTCATCTCATTTTGCATGTCAGGGGGGTAGCCCAGTCATGCAAACATTAACAACTACTTTATGAACACTGACCAACTGTAAGCTTTATTTCACCACGACCATTTAGATAAAAAGGTGTGATTTACCATTTAAAAGCATGTTCACCAAGATTCAAACCATGTACAGTATAATTCTTTATCCCTCTCTCTTTCAGTTCACCCACAACTAATAAACAAAAAAAATAAAAATGATGAATACTGACCCACTGAACGCCTTGTCAGATATTATTTCATCTAGCATACATGTTAGAGCTTAAGAGGAGATGATTAGTGACCCATGGCCGGTGTACAAAACCAAATATGGGCCAACAACAATGGCTGAAGACAAGAATATTATGAAAGTCAAATTCAATGAATTACATTCAAACCTTACATTCTCCAGTTCATCAAAATAATTGAGCTTAGCACGGAGTGATTCAGCAAACTCAATTAACCTTTGCTTCTCCAAAAGCTGCAATATGAATATCAAACAGACCAGGATATATTATTAATATGATAGAACGATATGGCCACATCTTTCCATGTCTATAATTTCTTTTATTTCAATCACACCTTCAGCACATGCAAAACAGCAGTAGAATCATACCAGTCGATCACATGCATCATGCAGAGTTTTCGTTTTTGTTGCTACAGCTTGATGCTGTAGTTGTAATTCATTAAATAAGTCGAGGGTTTCATCCACCTGCCCAGAAAGTTATTCATCCATAATTAGTTCATACAGAAGGTGGCAACAGAAACAAAATTTGGCCAATATACTGAGGCAGTACTCTGTAAAGTGAATGTACCAATAATAGCAATATCCTACCTGATTGAGTATAGTGTCACAAGTTTGTATCCTCTCAGTTAATGTCCGTACATAATGCTGGTATTTCTCTTCTGTCTATACACCGAAAAGGAGACATCAATGGCATTAATAATCATTTTCAGACAAGGAAACATGACCTGATCAGAGAAATGTGATAACCTCTGACTTCATGGCTGCTTCAAGATCAGCAAACCATTTATAGAACTGCAAGAAGAGAAACATACCAAAAGAGTATGATCACCAAGGAAGAGACCAAATATATAAAAACAATCAAGTTAAAAAGAAAAGAAAAGGAAAAAGAAACTTTGATAAATAATAAAAAATAGAAATATATATCCAGGTAATTACATGACCTTGCAATTACATATTAGACGATATTAGAGACTAACGTCTACATTGATCAATAGAATTCAAATATCAAAGTGCGTGAACTAACCAAGTTAATATAAAAGCAAAATTGATCATATGTTGGGAGAACATGATAATTAATTCATATAAAATGCACCTGATTGGTGTTGACCAGAGCGGCCTCCATCGTCCCTGAATCATCTGTGGTGCTGTGCTTTGTTGAAATAGACAGACCATTTTCACGTCCAGCTACTTTCTCTGGTGCCTTATCCAATAAACAAGAAAAGAATAACTACAATTCTTTTCAATTTCATGAAGACAGGTAACAATGAAACAAATATTGGCAATAGCCTCTACCAAATTTGGAGGAAATGGTCGTTCAGCAACAGCATGAGATAGAGCGACAATTGCTGCCTGCTGCTGCTCTGTCAATGGAGCATTCTATTAATTGACAAAGAATTTTGAGTTAGAACTGTGTATAGTTTTACCAACTAATGCATATACACATATACATGTTTGTATCCCCTCGAGAAAACGAAAAATACAAATAAAAAGCAAAAAGGCAATGGATCTTCCCATTTAAAAGGCTTAAAATGTAGGTTCATTTGCATATTCAATTCATAATTTAACTAATGTTCCACAAAGTACTATCGTCCAAAAACACATCTAACAATGATGGGCAACACACAGAGAGATCAAATCTAGCTAAAGAAAAGTGAGGTAACGTGCAAATGGACCAGCAGATCTATCACCAAAACAGCTCAAAAACAGCGCTCTAATCAAATCCACAATATCAGGCTCACACTGATCGAGTATCCCACGAGGAAAAAGAAAGTCTCAAACCTGTTCCCAGGTGGAAGCAAAGTTGTATCCTTTCGAGATCGCGCCGGATTTTGGGACGTTGGATTTTCCGGCACCACCACCCGCCGCCGCCGTCGCCATCTCTGCACTCTTCAGATTGAACCTCAATGAATCAATTTTAAGCTTTGTGAACAAATTTGCTTCCCCTAACTCTCGTCCCTCAGCTCACGTCTTGATGTAATCCTCGCACCCAGAATCAACGAGGTGAGGCAGCCATTATCAGCGAGGTCTTGTGCATCAAAATCTACTGCGAAAGCTCCTAACTGGAAACAGCACAAACTGTCTCCTTTTCTCAGTTTGCTAAAATCGAAGTTTTTGATTTGGTATTGGTCGACAGTACCATGTAGCTTTTTTTCCATAAAAAACTTGTTCGGGCCAAGCCCGCCCAACCCAAAGCTGATATGGATTCGGATCGGGTTTGGGTTTCCTATAGCCCACACGCTAAGATAGCTGACTATAGGTAGCGATGTAAATAGGTCGGGTCGGGTCGGGTACGGGTTTTGGCAAATCCTAACCCGGCCCGTGCATAATTTACCCGACCCATACTTGGCTAGTCATCTTCGAGTTCGGGTATGATTTTACCGGGTTAGCGAGTTTTCATTGGGTAAACGGGTAACCCGAGTTCTTAAATTTAGGCTTTACCTGATCTAACCAGCTTCATGTGAAAAAATAAAATAAAATAATTTTACAATTAATTACAGTGTAACAAACAATTTCTTAACTAAGTTTGACAATATAAAATTATAGAAAAATTATATTATTTTTAGAATAAATAATGAGATATAATTATCTATCTTTTATAGTCTAGTTAATAATATAACATTTAAAATTAAGTATTTAATTTTTTTATTGTACAATTAACAAAAATTGATAAAAAAAATCATAAAATAAAATAAAATTTAACCATTAATCAAATTTTTAATAATAATAGCACATGACTATTTTTATATTTATAATAAGTCATAAATATATCTATATATATATATATATATATATATAAGATTCAATGGTTGCGGGTAAACGGGTAAGGTAATTGGGTCGGGTAAAGGTTTTTCTACTATACCCGCACCCGACCCGACCCGACCCGGGGTTCGGGTAGCATAATTCTACCCGAACCCAACCCAAAACCCAATCATCTCGGATTTACCTGACCCGAAAAAGCGGGAAACCCGCGGGTAACCCCACCCTACGGGTTTTAGACATGCCTAACTTTGGGAGTATGACTGTTAACGAACTGAACATTCACGAATAAAAGCTCGTTTATTTGTTAATCAAGCCAAATTCGAACATAAAATTAGGTTATTTAATAATCAAACGAACACGAGCTCGCAAACGTCGAATAATGCTCGCTAACATTAATTTATTATAACTTTATTTTTTTTATATTTACTTGATATTTTTAATATAAAATCTAGAATCTAAAATATTTTTTATTATATTTTATTATTTTTGAGTTTGAACTGACAGTTTTTGAGTTAATCAACCATATTTAAAAATTTTGTTTCCTAAATTATTCGAATACGAACGAACTCGAACTTTGACGAACAATTAAACGGACGAGATCGAACACAATTTTTTGCTCAAAAAATTAACGAACGGATACAAAGTGTTCAAACATAAACGTACACGATCTCGAAAATGCCCAAGCTCAGCTCGTTCGGTTCGATTACAACTATTTGGTAGGTAGTGCATGGAATAAAGTTGAGTTCGTGTTTGATTAGTTCAATTCAAACATTGTTTATTCATATTTTATTTAAACAAGATTCATGTTTAAGCTTGTATTTTTAATTATTCGTTAAAGTCCGAGTTCATTTTTATTTGAATAATTTAGTAAATCAGTTTATTAGACTGTTTGATCAACTCACGTTCAATTCGTTCAAAAATAGTTTGAGCTCGTAAATATTAAATGAAAATATAGATTATAAATTTTTTATTAAAAATTTGAATATATATATATAAACCTTCATAAACCTCACTTTTACACTTCCCAACATGCCACATCATTCAAAACCTCATCCTTACTCCTACACCCATAAACCTCCAATAACAATAAACCCCATAAACCTCATTTTTTATGTGTCCCACATGTTTCCCACTTACTTTTTATTAATATTATACTATTATATTTTATTAATATCTTAAAATTATAATTCTACTTTTTATTCTTATTAAATGTAAATATTTCATACATTTATCATAAATACATCTAAAAAATAATATAATTATATATAATTGTATTGCATTATATAATTATATAGTGTTAAGTACATACGAATGTATAGTTTTACTTATAAAAATTACGAAACATAGAACTGACATACTGTTGAAAATTAAATTTTGAGTACAAATTTTTTCTAAATATTAATCATGGGAATTAGGTTCGTTCCAAATATGTTCAACCAAGCGAAGTTGATGATGAATTTGTCTGTCTTACACCTCAGCTCTTATTTGCAAGTAACGTCGAAAATTTGGAGACACCCCTTCACACGCCAGCGTTGGTGGTTCCTATTCATCATTAGACCAGTTGGTAGCTTTTTCGCCTTCGTCTTCGACTATCATGTTACGTAAAATGATACACGATAACATAATTTCGCTAAGATCTTCTTTATACCAACAACGAGAAGGACCTCGAATAATTTCCCTCCTTGACTGGAGGACCCAAAAGCACGCTCAACGTCTTTTCTTGCAGCCTCTTGTGTTTGCTTGAATTTTTTCCTTTTTGGATCCTCTGGACATTGAAAGCTTTTGACTAATGTAGCCCACTCTGGATAGATACCGTTTGTTAAGTAGTTTTCTTTGGTGTATTGAATCCCGTTAACCACAAAATTGACCTCTGGAGCTATACCATGTAAAACATCATTAAATAATGGAGATTCGTGTAGTAAATTTATATCATTTCATGATCCCGCGAGCCCAAAATATGCGTGCCAGAGCCATAAGTCTTGTGATGCCACTGCTTCAAGCATAATCGTGGGTACCCCAGAGTCCCCTTGAGTGTACGAGCCTTGCCATCCAACTGGACAATATTTCCACTCCCAGTGCATACAATCTAGACTTTCCAACATGCCAAGAAAATCATATTTCTCCTCGTGTAATGTAAGTATTCTTTGGATGTCTGTGGCATTTGGGGGGCGCAAATATTGGGGTGATATATTTCTCGCACAGCACGACAAACATAGTTGTCAAAACCGGACCGAACCAGCCGGTTCGACCGGTTCAGCCGGGAACCGGTGCAGCAGCCCACTACTTAGGGCCAATTTTTTGCAAATTTACCTTTCGAAAATGCTTATAAATTTTTTCGAAATCGTTTGCAAACTATCTCGGGATGCCGCTAAAAACTTATCTGCTTTAAAAATTCGTTTTCTTTAGACTGGGTCTATCTACTGGTTTATGTTGTGACTATTTTTGTTACGTTTTTCATATTTGTTTTACATTTATTTTTCCCCGTTTTATGTCTTTTCATGAGTTTTTAGTTCGTTTTGTGTTTTATTATGTGTTTTGTTCTATTTTGGTTTTCTTTGTGTTTTTCGCGTGTTTTTCCGGTTTTTCGTGTGCAGGTTGGAAACTTTTGGGAGTAAAGGATTTCAGGAAAATATTTGCTGGGCTAGCATATTAAAATAGAGGGGTTCGTTAGCGACGCGCAGGAAAAAACGAAACTCAATTCCGAGTTCGGACGAGCTCAAACGAGACCAAATCGCAAAGTCGCGCAGTGCAGTTTTTCCATTCGCAAACAAGCTCGGAGTTTATCATCTTGGATCCATTTTCTCCACTTCTCTTCCACTAATCCGAAAATCATGCAACTTTTGAGTTGAATATTCATCATGGAGTTGATCATGGAGCACTTAACCTTGATTTATGCCATAATGCTCCATGATTCATTTTTTTTAATCCATTATTCACACTATAAATACCACTTCTCTTCACCATTTTCTCATCCTTCATTTTTCATAGTTATGTAACATTCTAATCCTTGATTCCTCTTCTTAAATACTTGTTTTTTGAGAAAGAAGTGTTTAGGAGAAGGAATTTTGGAGAAGTTTGTATTTCATTTGGTGTGCACTTATTCTCGGTTTAGCACTTGTATCGAACTTAATTCTCGATTTGGATTTCTTGTAAGTTTTCTTTATAATAATGATGATTTGTAATAAAGTTTATGTTGAGATTATTTTTGATATGAGTAACTAAATCACTTGCTAGGGATAAGGGATGAACATTTAAATTAGTATGTGATTATTGTGCTCGTCAATTGTTCACTTGTGTGAGTTAATTATTAATTCGGTTTTTGATTTTCACGTTGGAATAAATATTGTTGAAAAGTGACATTTCAACCTTGCTAATTGATTTCTAAGTATTGAAGAGTGACACTTCAATGTTAAACTTGTTTTCATATTTGAATATTATGTATTCCATTGTGACGATCAGGTCCGAATAAACTAGACGACTAATAATTTTTCTAGTTTATTCTAATCGACTACTGAACCAAAAGGTGAAAAATCGATTGATCGAGACTCATACAAAATAGACTTGTTCCGAAAGGTATTGTCTATGTGTTAAACAATTCATTAATTTACCGTTTATATTTATTCTCTTGTTCCGAAAGGTATTGAGGATAAATCTCTAAATGTGTAAGTGACTCAATTTCTTTAACCGAACGATCACAAGCCGATAATTGCATTACTATTCAACACGTTCATTCCTGATTCCCTAGCATCTTTTTCATCATTGAATTTGTAATTTAATTTGTTAAATAAATTTGTTTAAAAGAAACTTAGTTAATAATCAAAATATTCCAACTTGAATTAGAGTGTTTAGAACTTATTTTCTCTTTTCGATTGAATACACGTATAAAATAGCCCGGCTAACCTTCCTCGAGAGACACGACCCGGTGCTTGAATCTTTTGATTCGATACTCAGTAAAATTAAAATAATTTGATACAACAAATTTGGCGCCGTTGCCAGGGAAGGTTTAGGAATTATTTTGTGCGTCTATTCATTTGTTTTCGTGTTTTACTTCTTGTGATTTTCTTGTTTTTTGTGTTTCTCTTTGTTTCTTGTTCTATTTTTCCGAATAATAGTAGTATTTTCGGGGTGTTTGTCCTTAGTTTTTTTCGTTAACGGGTGCTCGTAACGCATTGTTGTTTTTGTATGCGTACTAGGAGTGGACGTGTACTCATTCCGAGCAACAAGTCCATCAGCGAGAATTTACGAGAATTGTTCACCAACCTTTCTCTCGAACCATCAAATTCCGACAAGCAAGGCGAGATGGCTCGACACGAAGAAGAGGAAGTAAACAATCCCCCGCGATATCTTCTCCGGGACTTAGCCCAACCGGTGATTGGACCGGTGACTTCGTGCATTC